GTGTTTTCAGATTTTTAGAGACAGAATTTCTCCATAAATATGAGTTGCATTTTATAAAAAAGAAACAATAACAAACAAGCACCACTATTTATATTGATTTAGCGGATTTTAAGAACCTTTCTGTTGAGAGGTTTGTTGAAAACATTTAATCTCGTAATGTTGACATTTGCTAAGTTTCTCAACATAATGCGAAAAAATTTATTAAGAATGTGATTAGTTAGTTTAATTTTATGGTCTTGAATTTGACAGGTAAGAAGTTTACTTTTTAACATATGTGGCAAAGCATGCTTCTTTAAATTCTCGCAAACATTATTTAAGCGTAACACTTTAATAACGTTTTCAACGAACTTCTGTAATGTTGCTAACCAGAATACAAAAGATGCAGAAGGTTTCTTTAATGCTCCCCTGTCTTGATTTTTAATGAGCTGAATTAAAGGGGTGTTACATTCAGGTCCAACAAATGGTTGTAAGCAATCACCACAATCAAAATAAGCCTCCATGGTACATAAAATATATCCTGCAACATAAGCCAATGCACTCATTTTAAGCGAGTTTACCTGTACTGATGGTATTTGGTAGAGATTATGTAAAATATTTTCAATTTCGGGAGGTAATAAAATATTCTTCCAATTAGGCACTGATAGTACACTTTTCAGCTTTGGTATCGTTGAAGTTGCACCAAATTGGCCCACATTTGAATAAGGAGAAGAGGTAATGAGTCCAACCTTTAAAATCTTTTCTAACGAGAATATGGTGGACCTCACATCCAACATGTAATTGCCACCATTCATTTGTCTCAGGTTACTGAACAAAGATTCAACAGCATCACTGTTAAAATGAGCGGTCAATATATAGTGGTATCCACTCTCTAATAAATACTTTGTGCAAGACACAGTTGATTTAGTTGTGAGCACAAGTGCCTCATAAGTTTCCTTTATTAGAAATTTCATTGGAGGATTTTGTCTTTCACAAGCTGTCTTGATTGATTTGAGATAGTCGAGAAATTCTGTCTCAAACCATTGCAGTCGATCATCATCCATCGAGAAAAAGGGAAATTTAATGATATTATTGGAACTTTTTGTGTCAATATCATGCAGTTTAAACCATCTAAATGTACTATTTTTCATAAGACATATAGATGCTCCAGCTTGCTTAAATTCTTTGGCTTTCGGGTGCCTAACTTAGTAATATAGTTTTTTTTTACAAATTTTCCAGATATGATTTCTTTACCATCTGAACACTCTTTTCCTAACAAAAGAGATCTTAAATTTTTAATGTGGTTGGGATCGAAGCTGAAGTATAGGAATCTTTCAGAATTACAAGGAAAATGCATTGAGGCTTTAAAGCCATTTCGTCAGCAATTAAGGAACAGAAAACTCAAATGTTTTTTGCCTCTTCGCATAAGCGATCTTTAATTAATGATGTGAATCCCACATCTCCACTAGCTGACCCAATATATTTCCTTAAAGTTGCTTTTGATGGTAGCTTTAATACATTGCGTTCGATGATCCACCTTTATGCTTTAGGCGAAACAGCATGCAAAAGTACACGTTCACGTAGAACACTTTCTGGCCAACGTGGTTTTTGTTTATCAAAGTTTTTTATTTGAGTCAGTAAAAAATCCATATTGTTGCTGCTTAAACCTTCTCCACTCATAACTTGGAGTTTTTCCAACTGTCGAAAAGTAAATGTTATTTTTGAAGTAGTTAACTTTTCTCTCTAGTTGGTTGACTTTCTTATTAAGAAGAATTATTGTATCTTCTCTTTTTTTAGCTATCTTTTTAGCATTTTATTTCTTGAATTCGACTGTCATATGCTGATCCTTCTATCTTTGTTTGGGTATTTGCATCTACACTGAAAGGGGCAGCAAAATTCTCTTGAGCATCAATTAGGGATGAAACGTATTGAAGATTATCAACTAATAATAATAGGAAATATCAATGAAAACAATATATTTATTCTACGATAACGTAACGTACAGTATTCCAAACAAAGGTATTCCTTTTTTTACATAAACAAAAATAAACATTATCCGAAATTCAGTTGTTCTGCAGTTTGCTTATGCGTACCGCAACATCCTCCCCACCCTGGTCAACCTCCAAAGGTATGACCAGTTGGATTGGACAGGTAATATGTTTTCCTTCGACACGAAGAATACAAGTACGAATTTTTCCGTCCCGACCGTTAATTAATTTAACCGCAAGAGCTTTTTTCCACACGTGTCTTGGTCGTACGTCCTCTTGTAGTAACTTTATGTCTAGAACCAAATCTCCTACTCGTGGTGATTGCCGAGCATTTTTTACTTGATGATGTGAACGCAGTTCCAGCAAATACTCTTTAGTCCACCTTTTCCAAAACATATCAAGTACATCTTGTTGTTTTCTGTAAATATTAGTGAGTTTATCACCTTTAAGCTCGGGTCCAGATGGAACAATAGTAAGCTTTCGACCAGTTAGGAAATGAGATGGTGTCAAAGCTTCTTCTGTATCATTCTCACCATGCTCATTAATCAAAGGTCCACTGTTGAGCAAGGCTCCTATTCCCACCAATACTGTAGCTAAGGTTTCCTCATCTAGTAATGCGCGACCAAGTGACTTTCGAAGGCACCGTTTAGTTAACCTATTAGTCATCCCCACCAAGCTGCTCGTGGTGCAATAAACTTCCACTTTATACCATTATGAGCATAGAATTGCTGCACTTCCGCTGAAGTCAATGCATTCCATAGAAAAATTAGTTCCTTGTTTGCAGCATGGAAGGTGGTGGCATTGTCAGTATATATGATGTGTGGAAGTCCTCTTCTACTGACAAATCTTTGTAGGGCCAAAAGAAACTTGTCTGTAGGAAGGTCGGAAACAAGCTCAATGTGCAAGGCTCTAATAGTTGAACATGTAAATAATGCGATGTAGGTTGTTTTTGTAGGTTTGAATGTTTTAACATAAACTGGACCTGCAAAATCTATTCCAGTCGTATCAAAGGGTACACAAGGAGTAAATCTATCTAATGGAAAGGGTGCTTCTATTTCATTTGAGCATATAGCATGGAATAGTTTGCACGTTAAGCATGTATTAATTACCCGCTTTATGGCTTGACGACCTCGGAGTATCCAAAATTTAGAACGTGCTCATTCCGGAGTCACACAGAAAATATAAAGAGAAACATTTTCAAGATTAAAAAAATTTGATTCATGAAGTTATAACACTACCAAATTTTTGGAAGCAATATTCGTTATTGGATTGCAGTATATGGAATATCAGCAGCATGGTCAAATGCAAAATCGTCTACGTTATCACGATCTTGGAGAAAGATCATACCGCTTGATGAACAATCCTCTTCAGATGTTCAAGAAAAATATGATAACAGTATTCTCGAACAAGCAAAAGAAATCTAAGGTTTCGAAATTCTTGATGAAGAAAATTTAGAAGATAGGTTTCAAAGTGATGCATGTGAGCCTGGCTTCCAGTATTTGACTGATGAAGAGAGGGGGTTT